TGACACCATGCAAATTACACTCTGATAACTTACCAGTGAGATGTGATACGTGTATGTTACACTCAGATTGAGGTCCAAGCGGTAGCCCACCAGGTTGTCTGATTCTAGGAAAGGGCAGAATATGACAACGTTACATCAGGGTTCAATCCACAGATAACATTCGAATTCGCTGTGGGAATGCAGCCCTTGCAGTTGTGGAACAAGCGCGGTACCTGGGCGTAATGGTAGATGGGCAGCTCTCCTGGGAGCCTCACGTCAATCACACAATCCAGCAGGTGCGGAAGTCAGTAGGTGCGCTGTGGCGGAGCCGCCGAAGCCTCACCCTGGCGTCAAAGATCCTGTTTTACAGGTCGATGATCCAGGGTAGGTTGTCGTACGCTTCCAACGCCTTTTATCCGTCACTTCAAATTGGCAACATGGAGCCCCTCACACGTCTAACGAAGTGCGCTATCCGCGGCTTCTTCGGTCTGCCACCGTGGTCGCGCACGAGCCCGATCTTTGAACAGCTCCGCCTCACCACCCTGGAGGACATGTTTAACATTAAGCTCCTCATCTTTGTCCGTCGTTGTCTGTTCTCCCGAGCTAGCTCCCTCTTCACCAGCTTCTTCGTGAGAGTTACTGGTGACCGCACTCGGGGAGCAGCACATCACCTCGTTCGAGTACCATTTTGGCCCGGTCCTGCGGGTCGAGCGACCATGCAGTTCATCGGCGCAGTCCTGTGGAACCAGCTCCCGCCTGATCTCCGTTCCGAGCCCAGCCACCTTCAGTTCTGTGCCCTGCTAAAAGCGCATCATGGCTCCGTTTAAATACTTTTCGGCTAGTGTGTTTCTGTGGTATAGCGGACTGAAGAATAGTAAACGTGTTTTGCAATATATGTATGAAGCTATTTTGTATATAGTATGTTCCCATTCCGTTTTTGCTTTGGTGTAGCCCTGAGGTTGATTGCTTATTGATTTCTACCCTTCCTCTCTCCATACTTCTGTCCCCCCCCCCCTCTCTCTCATTCCTTCTGTCGTCCACATGTATCAAAGGAGGCGAAATCGCCTGTTTGTGGTGCGACGTTAAATAAACTTCTACAACAACAACAACAACAACAATCCAAAGTGACAAAGCATGGGGTTGTGCCATGAGTTAGGTGAACTGCCACAAAAGCGAAAGAAAAGAAGCCGGAACCCCGCCTATACAATAAACTACTCAAGTAGTACATGCAAACACCGTCAAACCCAGGTGTGAGGTGGTTGCAGAAAAAGGGGAGGATGGAGAATGGGGTCTTTGTACCCTGGTACGGCTCAGACACCTGACCAAACCTCTGTTGAAGTAAAGCATTTCTCTCTCAGACACCTGACCAAACCTCTGTTGAAGTAAAGCATTTCACGTGCCAGTCTTCTAAATGCATTACAATCTATCACACAACAAAGACTTGGAGAGAGGAGGGGAATAATTGTTACTCTAAGTTGCCATGCATGATAATCAGGCAACGAAGCCATAACTTCTACTCTCCCCTTGCTGGGTGACACATCTCTACCTCCCCACTGCGGATTATGTTCGCGAAATCATGGAATTACGCATTATGCTCGCAAAATCCTCATAATTATTATGCTTTGGTATGCGGGGCATTGCACAGATCCCGTGCATTTACTTCACTTACCATCGAACATGAGTTACATACCTATCGCCGTTGTCTGTTATTCTTGTTTTAGTTTTTGGTCTTTCGAATAGATCCCGTGCATTGAGCACCTATCATCGAACATGAGTTATGTGCCTATCGCCTGCTGTCATTACATTTATTTTTTACATTTATTTTTTTATTTTCCTCTCTGCCCACTCTGCCTGTCTTCTGGCACATGTGAATACGTGGACTTACTGTTGACGAAGACGCGGACGTGCGTATAATAATAATAATAATAATCTTTCCCTCAAACCAGTTAATAATAATAATAATAATAATAATAATGCGGGGATACTTATTCACTTTTTTGTACTTATGGAGCCTCCAAGTTCGGAAAGTTGTGCGTTTTTCGTACTTGCAAGTGGCCATAAGTACAACAAAATACATATGCCCATACCAAGGTGTGAATGCATGCTAGAGGACAACATAGAGAAGAGCATACAACGATGTACATGATTGTGTTGCCAGGATTTCTGTTGTGCTCTTCACTGAAAACACTGTCTGTATGACCTCCGAACCCTTTAGTAGGCTTTACCGTCACTGTCATCAGCACTGATCAGGTGCATGTGTAGCCTACATACTAGACTGTGCATGTGTAGCCTACATACTAGAACTGGAATACAGCCATGTCGTTATGCTCCTGCCTCCGAAAGGATGCAAAATTATGCTCCAAATTTTCAACCACCAAATTATGCCAATAATTATGCCGGCATAATCCGCCGGAGCCTACTGCCCACACAGACTGCAGCACTCTTTGGATATTCTGCTTACTTAAAGGGGGGAGTTAGGCTAAAATCGAAATTTCACCAGTTGTTGTCTTCGGGGTACTGAGTCGAATGGTCTTGGTTCAAGGAAGCTGAGACGCAGCAGACGCTCCCTTCCTACTTTAATCCCAATAGAACTCGCACACTTCCACCAAAACTGGGTGACTGCGCCCTACTAGATGGGGATTTGTATGCAAAATGTCACTAAAAGCGCCATTTCGTTCTTGTAAAAGCCCAGATGACCGCGATTAGCCCATATGTTGTAGTCTTTTGGACGCCGAGTCGACTGGTTTTGGTCCGAAAAGGCTGCGATGTAGCGTTCGGCCCTTATTCCCAATCGAACATGTCTGAACAAGCGGTCACGTGCTCGTGTGTACACCAGTCACCTGGTCACAGCGCCTGCAGGCTACAACTTACAGCATGTTTGGCAAACTTTGGGCGAGTTTCTGTCACTCGAGTTGAACTTTTGAACTTTTGAGTTGAACCTTGGTGTGAAAGTTGTCGCCTTCTGACGCGGTGACCAGGTGACTGTACTGGTGTACGCAGGAGCATGTGACCACTTGTTCAACCATGTTCAATTGGGAATAAGGGCCGAACGCTGCATTGCAGCCTTTTCCGACCAAAACCAGTCGACTCAGCGTCCAAAAGACTACTACATATGGGCCAATCGCGGTCATCTGGGCTTTTATAAGAACGAAATACCGCTTTTAGTGACATTTTGCATACAAATCCCCATCTAGTAGGGCGCAGTCACCCAGTTTCGGTGGAAGTGCTCGAGTTCGATTGGGAATAAAGGAGGAAGGGAGTGTCTCAGCTTCCTCGGACCAAGACCATTCGACTCAGCACCCCGAAGACTACAACTGGTGAAATTTTGATTTGAGGCTTAACTTCCCCTTTATAAAAAAAAGGCCAACCAGTGAAGAAAGATCAGCTGTCCAGCTGACTGCCACAGAGTACTTTCAACCTCGCGAATAACGACCCTTATCTCATGCACAATCGAGGATCGCTATTCCCAAGGCTAACTGTATATTATTACGGAGGGTAGTGGAGGTACTCACTCACCTTCTGGGTCCTCCCAGTTGACATGAAACGAAAGTGCGCTGCTAGCTTCAACCTCAGTCACTTTGAGCCGCCGAGGCATACCAGGTGGAGGCTGATTTTGGTCCTTACATGCATACTCCATCTTAAAATCCGTACGCCACCAGGGATGATCACATTTGGTGTTCTTGCAATCCAGATCACAGATCACATAGTCCTTACACTGTGACACCTTCCGCATTCCTTTCAACCTGCCTTCACAGGAGAATGAGAAACGAAGAAAAACATCACACTTTCAGCACAACATTTTGGGTCAATGAGAAAAGACTGAGACTTGAAGACAGACTAGCTAGTAACAGTTTTCCAAATCGGATGCAACACGGAATGCAGAATGACATTCTTACTTACGTCTGCTACTCCATACATGTGAACGGCCTCGCCTGCCGCTGAAAAGCATTGCCATTGGTGCTGCAGCGCAGCGCCCATCATAATAAAACCAAGCACTAGTAACTACTTGTCTAAGTATTACTAGAATTATCCGTGGCCTCCCATAATCTATTTTCTGGTTGTGGAAGGTTTTAATGGACGGCTACCTTACTTCCTCGCTCGCTGTCTCACGATGGATTGTTTATCAAGTAGCAAAACCGGCACAGACTTCAGTGAAAGGAGCACTTTCCTGGTTGAAAACATGGCTGCTTGATTAGTGGGTTGATCACGATCACTGATCAGAGAGCCGTGAAAGCTTTTAGTTAAAACTGTTTTACCAAGATGTACTCTTGGTTTTACTGCAACTTGCAAGTACTAGCACATGACTTGTAGTGTACAACATGTACTACAAAGAGTACATTTAGGTACTCTTTGTAGTACTACTACTAGTAGTAAGTTTTATGACTCCCTGATCACAATCATGCCGGTATACTATACAATGTCATGTAGATGTACGTGTCACCGTGTAGTGATCAGGGTGATCAGTGCCAAAATAGTGGTGACGTCGTCAAAGGTCCAAAAGGTCTACAAAAATACTGGGAGGGGTAACGTTACGCGTGGTCTTGGATAGTCAACCAGACACACGCAGCAACAGTTCACAGTGTTGTAGCGGTACGTGTAGACAGGCTAATGAACTATAATTTTATAAAGGTCATGCATTAGATTCTACCAGTAACTTGAGTAAGTCTTAAACTCACAGATATTGGTATGGTCGTAGCGTGGCCAAACCAGACCATATCCGGTGGTGGTGCAGCTAGTGTTCGATGCTGTTGACACCAGTCCGGTGAACACGGGCACGAGAAGGCTAGGCAATAGAATCAAAGAGTGCACTATCTTGACATACAACTAGGCTAAAATGACTATTGTGTGCATGCCAATATATGAGATGGAGAAAGTGACTACACACTAAGTTCCCCACACTGGGCCACACTACTGGACTGGTACTACTACATGTATACAGATATGAAATTCTTCTCACTCACAAGGTAAAGTACGAAGTAGTGGTTGCGACTTCGGTGATCATTTGTAAGAAAGGGTTTGCTCCCCACACCGGAGCTCGCACTATTCCGCCGACTTTACTTGACACTTGACTGACTCACGACTGCCATCCAGAGCACACGAGAAGTCCATCGAACCTTCGACTCGGCAAACCTGTCTCACCGTCCAGGAGCGACACTGACTCACGCTGCTATCTGGTGTTCACGAGGTGTTTGTCGCGCTGGAAACGGAGCGTCTCTGTAAGTTTGTATCCCTGGTGATGTTTGTGCCTGGAGAGCACTATATAAGTGGTGCTCTTCAGGCACAATCTTCCTCAGCCTACTCAAGCTCAACTGATGAGGGGTGAATTCCCCGAAACACTGTGTATTGAGCAAGGAATGGTGCCTTCTTGCAGGTTTGCCGAGTCGAAGGTTCGATGGACTTCTCGTGTGCTCTGGATGGCAGTCGTGAGTCAGTCAAGTGTCAAGTAAAGTCGGCGGAATAGCGCGAGCTCCGGTGTGGGGAGCAAACCCTTTCTCACAAGGTAAAGAACTCCATAATGCCCTGTACATCGGCACGTCGTCCCTACATCCCCTGTGTCTTGTTTTGTGTTTATCTCCACATGTCTTTTTTTTCTAGGGCTGTGTTTCCAATAAAAAGAAAAAGAAAAGAAAAAGAAAAAGAACTCTGCCGTGATTAAGCCTCGGGCGAAGTGGGGGGGGGGGGGGTGGCATGGCAGCTTGGGGGCTCGCTCTCCAGAGCACTGACTATCTATAAAGTTGGTAGGTCAGTGCCGAAGGTCGGAATTTGAAATTTAACAGGACTCAAACAATTCCACAAACATCCCCTCTCCCACACAGAATCGACCTAATGGATGTACAGTGAATAATTGGTAAGCACATGTACGTGTACTTGCACGAAAGTGGTAGCGACTTCCTGCAAGAAATCACCACTCCCTGCTCCCTCGAGGTGTTTGTTGCGCTGGAACGGAGCGTCTCTGTAAGTTGTGTCCCCTGTGATGGATCGCCCTGGAGAGCACTGATAACGTTAGTATTATACATGTAAATGGTGCTCTTCACACACAATCTTCCTCAGGCTACTCAACTTCAAGCTCAACTGATGAGAGGTGAATTCCCAGAAACACTGTATGTTGACCAGGGAGTGTGCTTTCTTGCACTGCAGGTTTGCCAAGTCGAAGGTTTAATGGACTTCTTGTGTGCTCTGGCAGTCGTGAGTCAGTCAGGTGTCAAGGCAAGTCGGCGGGAAATCACGAGCTCCAGTGTGGGGAGCAAACACTTTGCCAATAATGTATATTACATCACCGTAAAAAAGGAAAAATTTCAGAGCCAAAATGCCTCCAACGTATGTCACTTCCCATTTTCTTTAAAAAACCTGGCGTAATTCTTACCCTATAGCTGAAGCAGGAAACGGGCACACATTATGCGTTACAGGCAATAGCTGGTCTTCTATACATTGTAGATTAAGTAGGCCGTTTCCATTATTAACTCTGGAAGACCCCCCCCCTTCTCCCCTTACCATATACATGTAGATATTCTTTGACAGAAGTCAAACCAGCTGATTCGCTTCACGCTTGCCACTCCATACACGCGAGAGTGACTGAATTCCTTCATCCTGTTCAGGAACAGCTACTGGGAACTCCAGGATATCAGAGAGCAACACCGTTACCAACGGAATGATAGCCAGAATATCCACCCGACACTGGCCCATGGGTGAGACTTAAGATGTCCACACTACTTGCGCACGGCTGCTGTGGTGTGGTGAACTGAGCGTTTGTTCTGGTTTCAGAATAGCTGCCTTGACGGAGGCTGATAAGCCAGCCACACCAACGGGAGACTAAGTAAACGCACGAATCTTGCAGTAGTTATGTAGGCAGTGTCATTATCAAAGAACCAACAATATCTGATAACAGTATGTGATCGCAGGTTGAGAGAGTTCAAGAGAGAAACGTTGTTTGCTTCTGCACTAGACCTCAGAGCAGTGTTGGCCAGTATACAGTTGGATTCACTGGCACGCTTTGAACGCCGTGTGGTAGATCTCGATATCTGTCGCCGGGAGATCACGCCCGAGGGTGTAATTGTTTTCTCCGTGCACGTACGAGTTGCTACTCGTGGCAAGTAGTACATAGAAAGAATCATGTTGAGCTGTTCTTCAACAAGCACACAAAACAGGCACGTAGTGCGCTATTCTTTACGTGTGACAATGTTACGACCAGAGCGCCAAGTCATTCGTGCTTGTGCTAGTTCATGCCCGCGGGCCCACACATCACACTGGGCGGCCTTGCAAGCTTCCGCCCATACACGCGCGATCGTTTCTCCATGTAACATGGTGCTCATCACGTAGATAATTAGCACGTTCCTTATATGTCCCGGCGCGCAACGGCGCTCAATTATGAGCTGGCAAAACGGGCGTATAATCATGGCGTATGGTGTGCTTGTTTTCTGGTTCTGGTTTTACTGCATCCACAGCAGATTCTACATCTACATGTAGATGCACTTGTAAAGAAAAAATATTATAATCTAGCGCCATCCCGCTAGAGCAGCAGCTGTCCACATACATGTACCCGAGCGTCGATTCGTTGGTGCATTCGTGGGCAGGATCTGCAAAGTGCAGAAGGATTCATACGCTTATTATGGTCCAACTACTTGAATCACACTACAAGCATTTGTGAGCAATGCACTAACCTCCTGTACGCGCACATTGTCCTGGTGATCAGTTCCGTGGTTGGCTTGCGACAATAGCTACCGTGGTCACTACGTGGGGAAAACTGCAACCTCAACAGCGGAGGGCGGTCTACGCGTCAATGGCATCCGCACCTTTCGCAATAAGGTCCTCACTTGCAAAACACTTATGAAGCATGCACAGCGCAGAAGATCGTCCTCGGTCGTCAAGGCAGTTACTTGTGTTACAGATTGTTACAGCTGTCACTTTAACCTTCGCAAAAGCCACAATCAGAGGCAAGGCTTGGCAACATCAGGTTTGGATCCACTAACCGGTTAGCACACGCCACTGCGAATTGATCCGCAGTGGTCAGTCTCACTCTCAGCCGCGAAGCTCGGTCCGGCAACACCTATGCTAGCTTTATTGGTCGAACCTTGGTTGTGTTTAGATTCCAGGAAGTGCCAGAACCCAGTACATGTATATGAACAGAGCATTGAGCGGTTGGTAAGGTGGTCTATCATAAACCCTTTTCGTATGTTTTGTACTGATAATTATGTCCTTGCTTTCCCTGGGAGAATGATGGTGGAGCGTTGGCAGGTACGTGAACGTAGCAGTTGCTGGCATACTCCAGTGAAACGTTGCTTGGTATGACAATGCGAGGAGAGAAAGACGTAATTATTTTCAGATTGACCAATAATTAAATAGTGAGACTTGGAGGAGAATTAAAAATTTCCATTATAATGAAGTGATCATACGTGTCCAAACACAGGCTAATCTCCAGTTCACCCATGGACTGTGGAATGAAGCGGGGTAGGAGAAGCCCAATACTAGTAATAGCTCCAAACGAGCTGGGCTTCGCTTCTGACCTACGGACATATCCGCTTTAGCGTTGTGCCTGCGTATGCATGCGGAAACACTTCCGACCGATCGATGTCGTACCAGCTGGCGATAATCGTAGCGCTGTGGTCGCACTGTTGAGGTACATGATCCGCCACCAGTACAGAAAAGCATTATCCAGGAGTTCTTTCCTTACGAGTATACCCTTCCTGTTAGCAACGTTCTGAACAAGCAGATCTGCACAACAAACCAGTCGCTCTGGATCAGACACGATCATTCCCCGCGCTCCGGTTCTTTTCAGCTTTCAACAATCCAGCCAAGATATTCTGTGCAATACCGCTGTGTTGAATGATCCTTGACAGTGACACACTATAAGACAAAATCGGTGCAATCCTGGATGAATTAGCCCAAGCATCGACTCCACGGCTTTTCTATTTATATAGAACTCCATCGTGTTCATAAGAACACACACACGTGACATACATGTTTTTTGTGTTTATTTGAATTCGGATAGCTCAACAGCACAGAAGTACAACTACAAAGAGTACCGTATAGAAGGCCCCGAGAACGGGAAACCAAAAACAAACATGTACATGTCCAATGTACAACCGTTGAACTAGACTCTCGTCGAACTTCCCTTCCGTCAATGAAAACCTAGCACCATAGATACGTGTACGTGCAAGCTAAAGCCGGGCAAAGTTAGTTCTAAAGTGATCTTCGGCTTCGGCATCCATGATAACTTTTCATGGACCATACGGTACATGTATTACTAGTACAGTATTAGACCGATCAATGTTTTTTTCACTATGATTATTGATATGGCTCATTTTATGCAAGTAAATGTAACTTTTGTCAAAAAGGAGTTTGCATATATCACCCCTATTAATATTACTTGTAGTATTATTCGTACAGTCATGTATTCAGAACGAAACAGTGGTACAGCAGCGACTTGGGCGATAATGTGCGAAAGGTGGTTTATCCCCACACTGGTTAAAGCGACAATGACTCACGCTGCTGAGTGCTGTCTGGTGTTCACGAGGTGTTTGTCGCGCTGGAAACGGAGGGTCTCTGTACGTTTGCAGCCCTGGTGATACTTTGGCATGCAGAGCAAGCACTAAAAAGGGGTGCTCTTCAGGCACAATCTTCCTTAGCCTCAATCTCAACTGAAGAGGGGTGAGTTCCCAGAAGCACTATGTACATTGTGGAGCAGAGAGGTGTGCATTCTTGCAGGGTTGACGATTCGAAGGTACCATCAATTTTTTTTCCAAACGCCAAAACGCAAGAAGAACGAGAGCATGTGGTGACAAGGCCCTGGAGCTCTGCCGACCATGAGGTCTCGGCCTCACGGCAACCAGGACGCGCCAAAAAAGTGGAATGAATAGACACAAGAAAATAATGACCTTTGAAGAGAGTGACGCAAAAAGCCAGAGCCAATACACTGGTAATAAATGTACAGATAGAGGGTGGGAAGGTCTGCTAGGACAGGTAAACAAGGTGAATTTTATCACAAACAGAGAGACAGAGTAATTAGGGGAGAGAGTCGACTGGTGGGAGCTTTAGAGGCTATCGGTGTTTGCTATCCAGCTGGAGCGCGGTAAATGGCGGTGCACGTTGGTCTAGAAGGCCTGGGCTTTCTTTGTATTGAGCTGGGGTAATGTTGCAGGAGGCCGGGAGGTAGGAAGCTCCAGGCCCTACGACTGCTGATGGGAAACGGTTGAGGTGGCGTAACGTTAGTTGTACTCGGGTAGGGTAAGGGGCTTGCAACTGGAATTTGTGGCGGTGTATGGTAGGCTGCTGAGTGCGGCGTGGTGTGGTGGTTCTGGCTGATGGAGGCAGCATGGCCATCTTGAGAGGGTTAGGTGGGATGGAGGCAGGTGGTGGAGCTTATACATGTAGCAGAGTGCAGCACAACCCGACGCCGATGATCCCGTCATGGGACTTGAACATCTCGTGTGCTTAGGTCAAGTGTGTATTCAGAAGTTAATTGTTTTCAACTCTCTAACGATGGATGCGGTTAATGGACAATGGTCAGTAATGTGCAATACTAAAAAGAGAGGACCATAAGTTTGCAAGCAACTTAGTTCTCCGTTTTGTCCAACACTAACAATTATAAACAGGATATTGTTGAAAACTTGTAAACTTATGGTCCTCTTTTTAAATTTTATTCCTGGGCTCTCCATCCGAGTTGTACATGTATGTGCCATAGAGAAATGGTTTTTGCTGATATGAGTAAGGCTTTTGACGGTGTTCGACATCATTATCTAGTCAATGAGCTGACTGCTGTTCGTGTGGGCGGTACGGTGCTAAAGTTGCTTGTTGCCTATCAATAGTGAATTTATCATCCCGCAGTCAGCAGCTTGTAACTGCATACCGGTATCCCAGCTCTGTTGCTACCAGGGAGTAGTACAATACCGTATTGTACTACTCCCTGGTTGCTACACTGTCAGTGTCCTCTGTTTACATTATAGCCTTGAAACTCTATGTTCACTTTACTTGACACTCACCTGCAATAGCCTAATCATGAACCCTGCCAACACGTACACCCCAGTTCTTCGTTGCTAGCCGTGTCCCAAAGGTGCCATATTTTGTCGCAACTGATGCTTTTCGCAACAGTGCCAAAACAATAATGGTGGTAAAGACACACCTGGCAATATGGCGGTGAACACACGCTCTCTTAGCTGCAAAGTAAGTTCTGGCACAGAGCTCTTATCTCCTTCTCGCCACCACCACCATCTCTCAGTTCGCGCCTTGCGCCTAGTTGTTGTTGTTGTTTATTTATTTTACATCGCAAGGCAAACGGGCAGTTCTGCCCAATATTATGGACGCGATGACAACCAGTAAGAAGAGTCAGAAATGAAGAGAAAAATAAATGAAAATATAAATACGAAAATGGAAGTAGCAATGAGGGGAGGCAGGGTCAAGACGAGCAGAAAAAAATGGATCTCAAATTTACAAGTCGGGTCATAGTAGCATGATTCTATCGACCCTCATCAGCAGGTTACGAAAGCCATTACAAATTTACATTTAACCGAAGTAAAATACGCGTAGCATGCGTTTGAATTCACGGACAGATACTATGGACTTCATACAGTCGGGCAGGCCATTCCAGAGTCGGCAGCTGGCTAGAAGCGGTCGGCATGCGCCAGAAGCACTGTGGGCCAGGGGGAGGGGAAGGTTGCGTCCCAATTGACCTCGAGTGGTCATGCCTGTCGGCGGGCCTTTCAATACAATTCGGGACGACAACAGCTCACTGACGATTCCAGAACGGATTCTAAATGTCAGGAGTCGGAGCTTGCATTCTCCTCGTTCCAGCACTGGGCGGACACCCAGCCTGGTGTACAAGGGAAGAGTGTGGGCCAATGGGTGCTCATCGGCCACGCAACGGATGCAACGTTTATCCAGTTTGGCTACTGTGTTCCGCTGCTCTGCGGACAGTCCTGGGAGAAACGCATTCGACGCATATAGAATATCCGGTACGACAAGGGCAGAGTAATACAGCATCGCCTGCCTCACTGTTAGGCAGTGCCGGAGTCGATGCAGGGTTGGCGGTATCCGACATAGCAGGCTGGCACATCAAGTAGCGCATGGCACATAGAAGATGACACAGCAACGACATAGCTCGATTGCGACGTACGTTTCATGGTGGTGGTGGTGAGAAGGAGAGCTCTGTGCCAGAACTTTGCAGCTTAGAGAGCGTGTAGGGGGCAGGCGTGTGTTTACCGCCATATTGCCAGGTGTGTCTTTATCACCATATTTATCAACCACAAGTACAGCTGCAGTGGTGTCTTCAACTTACTTCATTCTCCTGAGTCAACCTCGGTATGAAGACATCCAAGAAGAAGATTGCCTGATGAGCCCAGCGGGGACGAAACGTAGATCTACGTCGCAATCGAGCTATGTCGTTGCTGTGTCATCTTCTATGTGCCATGCGCTACTTGATGTACCAGCCTGCTATGTCGGATACCGCCAACCATGCATCGACTAGGTGCCAGGCGCGAACTGATGGTGGTGGTGGTGAGAAGGAGAGCTCTGTGCCAGAACTTTGCAGCTGAAAGACCGTGTGTGGGCAGGCGTGTGTTTACCGCCATATTGCCAGGTGTGTCTTTACCACCATATTTATCAACCATAACCATAGCATAAGCACAGCTGCAGTGGTGTCTTCAACTAACACTTCATTCTCCCGAGTCAAGCTCCGTATGAAGACATCCAAGAAGAAGATTGCCTGAGCGGGGACGAAACATACGTCGCAATCGAGTTATGTCGTTGCTGTGTCATCTTTTATGTGCCATGCGCTACTTGATGTACCAGCCTGCTATATCGGATACCGCCAACCATGCATCGACTAGGTGCCAGGCGCGAACTGATGTTAGTGGTGGTGGTGAGAAGGAGAGCTCTGTGCCAGAAGTTTGCAGCTTAGAGAGCGTGTGTGGGCAGGCGTGTGTTTACCGCCATATTGCCAGGTGTATCTTTACCACCATATTTATCAGCCATAAGCACAGCTGCAGTGGTGTCTTCAACTTCAGTGCCAAAACAATTGCAAGTTAGTTGAGGAGATCGCATCCATATTTTAAAATTTCCGGAAAAAGCTCAAAAAGTTGCTAACACCGCAACTAACAAAGGAGCGGAATTATAGCCGTTCGTGGATAATGCTCGAAAAATTGGCAGTTTCTGCTCGAAAAGCAGTGCAATTGACAGAACCATACACACCTTATGTCGAGTACTAGTACTTTGAGTTCTGCTCCATTTCATTATCCGCATACACGTACCAAACATGCATGAAGCATACCAGAAAAAGTACCAATTTTTCTGCCATTTTTTTCTGCCGAAGGAGTCCGCAAATCTGTTGAGTCCGCGATCGGCGCCATTCAGCCGCATATGTGCTGCAGTGCGTTACCTGCATGACTGATTTTCTATACAACAGTACTAAGATTACAAAGGCAACACCAGAGAGTCGTATAACAGGTCTATACGACTCCCTGGTCAACACTACAACTTCTGGCAAGAAGCTGTGACATTTTTGTACTATTCATTTTGAAAGAGTCTTTAGTTGCTCGATGCTCGTCCCCTTTCTGAATGTCTGGCGTTCGCTCCAGGCTCCTCCTGCGATTCGCCAAGCTTTTTGGAGTTAGCCTGTGCTTGCTTGTGGTAGTTTTTCACTGTTTTAGCTCACCAGGCGGCGAGAGACTAGGACGGCATTCAAGGCTACGCCAGTCATTCAATTCTCACACAAAAGTTGGGTGGTGCATCATTGGCATTGGTCGCTTCCTCAGAGCTGTGAAGTCTAGGGTAAAAGGACGCAGACGGATATCAGACGGACGAGAAAGGACGGCAACTTCAGGCCGTGGGAATGGGAACGACGAAGTGCGTGGAGGAGTCCTCGTCGACGAAGCGCCACCAAATCACCTGGCTGTTCTTTTTCTCACAAAATCGGCACCGACTAATGTTCTCAAACGTAATCACTTGCGACGACTGTGGGTGAGCCGCTGTAATGAAAATAGACAGTTGCCGAGTAACCCGGAACGCCACGAAGCTGACTCTACTGCATTGAAAGCCCACAGACCGGCGGTGCTAAATTTGAGTTGCGTATTCGTCGTTGGGCGAAGTGAAGACAAAGCCCTCGAAAACCAAGTGCAGGAAGAGATGGCCGAGTTCGCGGACTTGCTGCGTGCGCCCATGCTGGACAGGTACGACTCTCTGACTCACAAAGTCCACTGGGCATTGGCATGGAGCGTTCATAACCCGTATGGAGAGTTTAGCTATGTTATGATCACGGATGATGATGTGTACGTGGCACTGCGCAACACCCTCGACTGGATCATGGCATCACTCCCCAGTGGCTGTGTATACTCAGGCCACGAGCACTTTGACCAGCATGTGTTGTGCTGCGAATTACACGCAGGACATCCAAACTGCGTGCGGTGCCGTAATCTTGACCGCCGTGTATCCCACGACCATGTTCTGTACACGGCGTTTGCCTCGGGCTTTGCTTACCTACTGTCACGGCCAGCCGTGCTGGCTCTTCTGGCAGAGTTCAACTCAACAGATGCAACTGATGGAAGCATACCTGGCAACATCGAGGATGTTGTAGTCGCAAGTTTGCTGCATAACAAGGGTGTGGAGCTCCGTGACGAGCCAGGCTTTGTTCATTACTTTGACGAGCGGCGTGGATGTCGCCCAGGTGACCCGCCACTTCTAGCCATGGGTAATGCTCCACCAGTGGTGCTGGACCACCTAGCCAAGAACGAACTGCGGGGAATTCCCCTTTGCAACCGTCTACCCGTGCTGGCCCGACGCGGACATATTGCTGGGTACAGATGATGTACGAATATCGGAGTGAAACGCAAGCAGGCCATTCTACTGTTCTGGACATAGACATACGGTCGGATGACCGCAGCCGGCGCCCTTACTTGCTTTGCGTGTGCACGCACCGTAGCACTGTAACCATGGACCAGTAGTGCTCATGGCTGCACGGCCAGCGCCCCCGAGGCCGTTTGACTTCTCAACGGACATCAATGTCCGCAAAAGTGCTATCCATTCCTTGATATGAGAAGTAACACTGCCTGGTATGATTGTGCAACGGCCGGCCCTCTCACACAAAAGTTGCATGCGCTCAATGCAGCTCTCGGATGCTGCAAGTACATTGTACATGGCATTGCGAGCCATCTGGATCAGCCGGGCACACTTAGCTAGAAGTCCATGCGCACAGCATGGAGCAGAACTCTGCCAGAGAATGCCAAGTGCCAAGGTGCGTGACAGGTGACACCTTGGAGGTTGGCTAGGGGATGAAACTATTCTGGCAGTAACTTTATGTCTGGATTACCTGATCTTAGGACTTCCCACTGCAGCATATCTGAGTGAGTAATGACTGACAAGTGTGGGCAGCCTTTAAGCTGTTTTAAAAAGGTTGATTCCTTTTCCAAAATAATTATTTCTGTGGCCATCCGGTCATCATACATTCATTGCTCGTGAGCAAACAAGGCTTCGGTTCTCGTTTTAATGATGGCCGATGACAAGTGACAGAACTCTCTCTCTCTCTCTCTCTCTCTCTCTCTCTTTCTCTTGTTCTCTCTCTCTCTCTCTCTCTCTCTCTCTCTCTCTCTTGTTCTCTTTCCCTTCACCCCAATGATAATCAGATGCAGCACGTCCACTCGCGTGTTGTTGCTTCGCCGTGCTGGACTATACGTCTGCTCGAATGGTATAAGCATTGCCCAGTCCATCAAGCTGGGGGACTTCTCCTTGTTATTGCAAAGTATTTCGAATTAGCCCAAAAGCAAAAGCAATCTGTGATTGATGATGAAGACCTGGTTCTACCAGTGTTTAGCTGGTGTATTACTTGTACAGGAGACACAGGTAGGAGACAGGTGACTCCGGTGTTATGCAAGTAGTATGGACATATCGCAAGAGGATGTAGCCTGGAGAACGATCTAGTGGAGGGCATGGTGTTGGCGCCAAGGAAGGGAGGACGACCAGCGGTCAAATAGACGATCAATGTAAAGAAGGAAAACGCAGCAGACAAGCTCACACAGGTCAACCGCCGGACAGAGACAAGGACGGAATGGCGTGACATATTTTTGCCACAGCAACACGAGTGGGTTAATGATGATGATACCTTGTACAGTTTTAAAAGAGAGTACCACTCACACAATATAATATACACATACTACGACCAATAGACATGGGTAGGATCCAGCAAGGGGAAACCTTGTTTTGAAAATCAAAATGCACAACTGGTGAGGAAAATGAAACCCATGAAATATACTTTGTAGGCCCAATAAAACGTCAAAGGAAAACAAGGAATACTAGTAGTGATTTTAAATTACCCCAAAGCAAAGGAACCTTTTTTTCTATTTTCCGTTTACGGTGGCTCATAATTGTTATGTTGCTGTCCTCCTAGCTAGGCAGCGGGTGAATGGAATCCGTACAGATTTCGACATGGTATGGTAAGGCTCGAACGATAGCTACACGTGCTAAAGTTCCGGTCTGATCGACTCTCGCTGGCCGTGAAATTCATTTCATACAAACAAAGAAACTAGTAGATGCAGTCTTGTCAATGGATGGGAAGATATTGATCAAAAATTGTTCTTAACACGATCGACTAGTGCTGGAGTTGCTGTAATAATTGATGGAATAACTGAATAGATGTCCTCAAGAAATCAAGTACTAGTACACGTACGCAGATGTCAGCTATACGTAGCCTGTACGTGCACAGGCGGCCGTATACTGCGTGTAGTGAGCATGGTTGAAAGTGGCTCTGATGATGAGCAATGAGCACTTTCATCCAAATCTTCCTATTTTCAATTTTTTCTATCAGGAAAGTTACGCTCTGGTAAATAGTCAAGGAGAGTGAATTTGTCGGTAAACAAGATAACTATGCCATATGGCCGGGAAGATCAACAAAGGCTGAGGGAGGTGGCATCAAACGTAGGGTAGATATGAGTAATATGACAGAAGCAGTGTGAGCTAGAAGACACATAGGGTTGCATTCCATGCTATGGTATCTTCACATAACACCTACGCACAGGAGAAGCCGATCTAATGGTACTCTGTGCACCGCGTGGCATTGTCTGATGCACAGCCGTGTGTGCGGTGTGCGCATCCTGGGGTTGTCTGGTGTGCTGTTCTGTGCACTCTGGCACAAACACACACACACAGCCTACAAAGATGTAATGGCCATGACGGAAGACAACGGCGAGGTAGTCTCGTGTAGCCTGTCCACCAGATGCTGAAACTGCCTGCAGTTCGTGGTGTCAAACGAGAAATCCTTTGGCAGTCGATATACTGTCTTCATTCTCATACCCACAGGCAACAAGGTCTGGTTGGAAGCACCAGCTAAACCATAGTACACTGGAACAACTGATCTAGTTTCACCGACAAATTCCATGCCCTGTATCCTGTTCACCTCCGACATTGTCAGTTTGAAACTGTCATCCTCGTCGACGGCCAGCTGAGCTTTGCGCAACTCATGAGTCATGGACAGGTTCAGTGGATGCGTCTCGTGCAGCAGCATAATGACAAAGTCAACGCTTCCCATCTTTTCCTCGAGCCAGGCTTCACGGTTATCGGCCATGCTATGGCGGTGACCGGGGTCAATGTCCGACACGACATCTATGCCCTGTTCCGTGAGAGCAGCAGACAGCTCCACAGCTTGCTGACGACTGGTGTTGGTAAAGCGAGAGTAGCTTAGATAAGCACTGACACTGTTCAGATCTAGTGGAACTTGACTCGTTCTATTGGAGGGCTGAACAGGCGGAACAGGCTGAACAGGCGGAACAGACAAGGAAACAAATGCAGATACACCAACGGTTTCATGCAGGATGCTGTATTATCTCTATAGCTGCAAGCATGTGTTCTATCACATCTTGCAAATCTGTACTCAGATCTCCTCTCATCATCGCCATCATTTCTTGCCTCACCCCTAGTTGATGGGTGGTCAACACCTTGCTTGGCAGGCGTGCGCATCAGTTCGTGCATGAGGCACAGTCAGTGACACAGCAAAGGCTTCCCGGATTGCGACTCAAGTTGTGAGATACATTTCTTGCGGCTAGATAGAGGGTGGGGGGGGGGGGTTCGGTGTGTGTTGACAGCCATTCTACAGGCTGTAGTATTATAGAGCTGCATATGGAGTATTAAGCCATAATTTGCCTCAGGTGCTCAAATGGACAATACGCAATCTAAAGCCTCCATGCTGGTCTATCACTGTAAAGCTAGAGCACCGTACAGCACTGTACTTTGCTAGAAAACTGGTTTGCAAAATGGCACATGCAGCACCGAACGCAAAGTCGGGCCAAAGAAATCAGATAGGTGAGTAACAACAGTTAGCGCCGACTTTCCATTTCAATTACTTAGTACATTTTACATCATGCACCGTCTAAAACACCCATCCTAGGGCTACAGGGGCCACATGAGCCTTGGTGCTGGTTTTGCCAATTGAACACATGCAGCACATGCAGTTCTTTTGCAAAGGTGTTTTAAAGGGAACAGTTCTTGCGACCATGGGCGTTTATGATCATCCCCTCCAATATTGGCATACACTCCTTTACAGCACAAGTTCCTGAATGACATATGTAGAACGGGTAATTTTAGCGACGTAAAAACCCTAGCGAATTTAGCGATCGACTCATTTTCGCTAAAGTTTCAAGTCGCTAATCCGTTGAGACATAAGTAGTGCACTGGTGATCCGTGAGTAAAATCGCTGCAAATCGCTAAAATAAAACGTCGCTAACCGGTTGACAATGGGAAAACGCTAAAATTAATAGTCGCTAAAATTACCCGTTCTACAGTAGGCGGACAGCATTATAATTATTAGTTTCACAGATTTATTCCATCAGTTTGATTTGAAACAAAACAATTACGTAGCGTGTGCGGCATCATTTTTGCCCTTCCTCTTATCTCCTGCAATGAGGCAATGCCCACTCTCTTCATGTCCTTGTCGAGCATTGTCACAGTGCATTCGTACAGTGTAACAATGTTGTATTGCAAAATAGAGATACAGCATACAGAGTCCAGTTTAGACTGATGAAAGCCAGGGGCTTGATTATAACCATATTGCACCGTCAAACTTACCCGTCTACATCTCCATATCCAGCTCCACAACCTGGACACAAACTCTTTCCACCCTACATGCAATTAAAGAAGAAAATAGATAAAAATACAGTGAGGACTCGTGACTCTGCGTTTATCTGCAAAACAAAGAGTGTGTTCGTTTAGTTTCTACATCTGATATGACGAACTCTGCCAAAGCAAGCCGGCGAAACGTAGTTTTTCTCTAACAGAAATACCAAATCCTTACCTAGCATTGGAATTTGGAAGCCTAAAAACGGTGCCGGATGTTGTGAAAGTTAAGACCCGTTAATCTGAAATAGGATGAAAGCCTACACTGTATATTTATACTGTTGTACTTGAGCCGTTCCGTAAACATTCCCAGGCGCAAAGCCTTAGGGTGCTTGCAAATTTCAAATTGAAACTTGCGCAGCATTCTTATCGGCTTTAAGGCATTACACATACAATGCCGCTCACTCGATTGCATTTCATTGAGCAGCACTGTACAATCACTGCAAATGCTGTGCCGGGTCATGACATGCTGTGCCGGGTCATGCCATGCTGAAGTGAAAGCTGGTATTCATTCAGAGGTGTTGAACGTTTTCTGCATAGCTGTGAAGGCCTGTTGAATTACACTACTATTGGAAAATTAGTAGCTGCAGGGGAGTAGCTCACGCATCTGTGGGGTGGTGACTATGTACCAGAGCACATCTGTGGTGTGGTGACTATGTACCAGAGCACATCGGTGGTGTGGTGACTATGTACCAGAGCACATCGGTGGTATGGTGACTATGTACCAGAGCACATCTGTGCTAGGGTGACTATGTACCAGAGCACATCGGTGGTGTGGTGACTATGTACCAGAGCACATCTGTGGTGTGGTGACCATGTACCGCTGGCAACCTCGTAGCTGCATTTTCGCCCATTTTGACTATGAAGCACCTATGGCGGCCATTAGCTGCTGTGGTGACCTTAGTACGCTGACTACACACGAGCTATGCGCCTGTAGCCGGATAAACCTTACATGATGGACTGTCAGTCACAAATGCAGTGCAGGGAACAGTACGTACCGGCGCCCTCTTTAATTCATAGCTCACGTTCCCTTGCAACTCGTAAAGTCCGTTCCCACAGAATTGTCCCGCTGGCTTTTCAGAGTCCGCTTATGGCCAAACGAAGGCGCGACAACCCACCGTAAATTCAAACGAGAGAGCTTGGAAGCTCAGGGCCCTACGCTATGCTTTGACGGCTACAATGCCCAACCATACCACAACGAACTGATCAGCTACATCACTGTATTGCAAAAAGTTTCCATCTGTTCGAAAACATGCATGATGAGCTACAATGTAGGCAAAAAAAAAGCACAGCGTAGGGCCCTGAGCGAAAGAAATAAACTTTATCTTTGCATTCGAGGGTGATACGACACTGTCTACCACCTTGATGACCTAGGCAAAAAACGCATAGGAATGTTATAAATTTTTCATTTATCCAATTTTTTCAAGACATAACCTGGGATTCCAACCCGCACTATCGCCCTACATGCATTCCCCAATACACTACGCATAGGTACTCATTCTTCCAAGTTGCTTCACTTTATGATCTTGCATTTGAAAGCCCTATTTGAATATTGTGGCCAGCTGTCTTTGATGGTACGGTACGGGACAGGTACGGGAGAGCGCCAGGCATGCCCACGGCACAAACACACAAACACACAAACACACACGGAATTAAAGCTGTGTGGACCCTGGCTAGCGCCAGACGTTACTGAAGTAAAGTCTTCTGCGTAGCTACGGGAATAATCATTATTTTGGACCTGCTTCCTGATTCCATGAGAACATCTCCATCCTACCGTGTACAATCCAGGACAGGCTCTCAACTGCACCGAATACATACATGTAGGACTGCCAAGATTTCGTCCATCGGACATCATCAGGACATTGATGCATCCAACGCCCCGTGGACGGAATATTAGCAACCCTATCTGCTCGGTGCGGCTGACAGCCAGTACTGGAATAAAGGGCGGCGGAGTTGTTGAATGTAAGGAGTATGCTATAGTGGAGTTTAAGAGTTCCAAGAAAAGTATTACTGTAAATACACAAATTTTCGGCAGCTATTTAATTTCGGCTATATTCGGCACCGACCCAAAACGCCTAAATTAAAACGCCGATGAAATTTTTCACAGCATCTGTCGCACTATACCCCTCTACCCCACGCCGAAAATAAATCGCCGCCGAAATGTCAAAAAACGTGAAGCGCCGAAATTTTGCAGCGCCGAAATTTTGTATATTTACAGTACATGAAAAGCGCGAATACACTTGAACTGGTCGAATATTCATTGCAAGACTACAACTTTTCTCTAGAGGTGTGTAAACAAACGTGTGTTCATAACTTCAGGTGCACTTTGATAAGATTATCACAATGCGGCCTATGACATGCCGTCAAGCTGGTCCAGTTGTCACACAAAACGTACTTCCAGAGTGTGTGGCTGCATGTACCCGAGAGCATAGCACGATTTAGGTGCGAAACTGCCTGAACCGCAACTACACACAGTTTCTTGACCTCCGTCCAACCGAGCAGAAATTGAGGCACTATCCACATGCAGCATTCTGCGTGTGTTGAGTGAAATACATGATTTTGAGTTGCTGTCTGATGATCGGTTAAAACCGTGAAACTCAGAGTTGCAGCAGAAACACTTTTGATTCCTCTCAAGTGTGTGATACTGAGTACATGTACATTTGACATAGGATATGATGACGTGGAGTTGAACACCAAGCAGTACCTACCTGAAGATGGCTTGACACGCGAACACAGAATCATTCCCAGCAGGGCTAACATAACAGCTAGTCCCGCAATAGCAATCACTGTGAGCAGCAAGGACAGAGAGAGAGAGAGAGAGAGAGAGAGAGAGAGAGAGAGAGAGAGAGAGAGAGAGAGAGAGAGAGAGAGAGAGAGAGAGAGAGAGAGAGAGAGAGAGAGAGAGAGAGAGAGAGAGAGAGAGAGAGAGAGAGAGAGAGAGAGAGAGAGAGAGAGAGAGAGAGAGAGAGAGAGAGTATGTGTGTGTGTGTGAGAGAGAGATGTAGACAGACAGACATACAGACATACGGACGGACGGACACACGGACAGACATACACACACAGACCGAGGCACAGAGAGAAAGCAATGAGTACCATATTCTCATGAACATTTTTGCTATTCACCCAGAAGTTGAAGAATGGGGCTGGACTTGTTACTCAAGGGAACACACTAAATCTTTAGGATAGAGAACTGAGACTGGGGGGTTAGAACAGAGAAATGAGACTGTGGGTTTAGGACAGGCATCTGAGATTGGGAGTGCGAGCCATGAATAGATACATAGATACCACCTTTAATCGGAGAAATACAGTACTTCTAGTACATGATAGAGTGCGCTAAGGAACACGTTATGTTGTATAGATGGAAAACCTTGTGATAATCAATTCCCCAGCTGTGCAGGCTGAAGACTGGCACAACCCCTGCACAAGTTGCCATGCTTGACACAGTCCAAACTAGCTACAGTCAGACATGTACGATGTCTGGATGCATTTCACCGAATGCCAGTCTGCCTAATAGTATATGCCCGTTTGTCAGGCTGCATGTTGTTCAGCATGCCTCTCTGTCTATGCAATTGAAGATAGCCGGACCACACAGCAGGAACAAGACTAGACTGACTGACTAACACTGATATATTAACGTTTCGAAGATTGTCCTCTTCTGAATGATAATGTCTGTCTGTCTGTCGGTCGGTCGGTTGGTTGGTCTGTCAGTCTGTCTGTGTCTGTGTGAATGTGTGTGTGCATTGCATTCATTTCCTCTGCGCATGTTACTGGATTAATGACTAAAATGAAATTGTTACGTACCAACTCCCGCCACCAAGCTTGCATTGACTCCTGATTCCTTGGCAGTACCGACTTCAGGCGGTGGTGATGAGGATGGTGATGCTGCTGGTGTGGCAGAAGCTGAGGATACCGACAGGGAGTTTGCTTTTGGTTTGGTGCTTTCAGTCACATGTAAATATTGTCCATCGCCCGTTGTTGTTCCACTAACCTTGCACAAACCTTCTGCTTTCACCTACATGCAGAATCAATCCAACAACTGGGTTATTTGTTCGTGATGTACACGTGTAAATAGGCAGTCCTATTGTAAAGAAACATGTACGGCACTGGCTCAGTGCCATCATCAACAGGTAACTCTCAGTAGGGCAACACATCCTAAAGGTGCAGGGTCCACTCGACGGACGGCAGGAATTCCTTTGGAATCTGGCTGCGTGTGCTGCCGGCCACTGATGCACGTCTGATGATTTCTAGGTGGATGGATTGGCCTTTCAAAGGAAATTGTTTCCACCGGATTCACAGTCTGGAAACACCGTGAGTGATTCTTGTCATGTGACGTTAGCTCTATTCATTGTGAACCACTCTTTCTTTTCATGTCTAAAGTGCTCTAAAGGGATTCTTTGTTGCAAGGGAAAAGAAGAGAAGTACATCCAAGGATATTATATGTGTGTGTGTGTAATTTGAAGTGAACGAATGAAGAAGCTACTTTCGTAAATATATTAATCGCTTTGACGGAATGAAAATCTCCATCCATTTCAGGATTTAGTTCAGATTTTTATATACTCTGCTGCATCTGTGCCTTGATCCTTGAGAGTTGTGGTGTTCCTGCGTATGCGGAAAACTCAGCCCGACGGAGTTTCAAGCGAGCTGTAAAATTCAATCATTCGAAAAAGGGTAATCACAATTTTTGCAGCAGGAATGAAGCCGAGCCACCAGTACCCTTACGTAAACAACAGCACATGCCGTGAATTCGGGATCGACGTTTTTTAATGTGATGGACTGTACTTTCCCCTGGGAACAGAGCAGAAAAGAAAGCACACACACACACACGCACACACACGCGCGCACACACACACACACACACACACACACACACACACACACACACACACACACGCGCGCGCGCGCGCACACACCGAGGACATGTAGAAGCTGCAATGATGGTTCGCTGTACATGTAAAATAGTTGAATGACACCACACATACATCGTATCCATAGAGTGATGTAGCGCTGATCGATTGACATCCAACATTCAGAGTCTAAGCCCCCAGGGGCAATTTTTGAGTCCTTTTACACGTTTTAATGTGCGTAATCCCCTACTCAAAGGGAACCTATTCTAAGAATGACATCTTAAGTTCTATCAACAAACATGATATACACATGTGTGAGTACGTACCGTGAATTTTTCGCTATCACGGCTTATGAAATGCTTGAAATTGCAGTTTGAGTGATTCAAGAAATGCGCCGAAAGGAAGTACCATCCCTGGCTTCTCGTGTAGGGGTTCCATTTTAACGTGAACGTGACTGAAGTGCGATTGCTCTCATCCAATGTCTGATACATGGCGGTTACTTTGGTCAGATCTGCATCCAGAGGCCCTGCGAGGGGAACAAAGCAACATCAGAGAGGAGATAGCTGCAGTTATTTCTGGATGGCATCGAGGGGCTTTAAAACTCCAATTCCAAAACGTAAGAACACAGCATGATTTACAACATGTTTTATAACAGACAACGCACTGGGCAACAGTACCAGCTGAGTTGGTTTTCGGCGGTGGATCGGTTTGGCCAGTGCAAAGGACTTCAAGCTTGAACCGTTTGGGCGTATTATTTGCATGCTGCCGACCCATGTTAAAGGGGACATGCTAGCCTGATGATGGCCTCTGGCCGAGAATTTGATTTTGAAACATTAGCAATTTGCAGGGAAGAGACCACTTGATCTGAGGATGGTGTGTGTAGGGTTTTTCATGCAGTGAAGTGGCTGTAGTGGAGCTTGCGCACCTTATAAGACATTCTAGTACCGTAAAATCCCGCCAGAGCGCCCCCGTCTCTCCCATCCGCCCCTCCCTGACTTCTTGTCAGGGACGTGATCCTCGTATGACTCTGTCACAGTCTGGTATGCCGTACTGCACTGCAGACGCGTGCTCGACCCCATTGGAAATGTACGCAACAGTGCCCACCCTCTTGACCAGGGGTCGCACAAACCCTGAGTTTTTTACGTTGAATCCCAGCACCACGATCAATACCATCCACACACTTTACATCTGCCTGTTGTTCAATGTTTTCTCTTCAGCACTGCATGAGAAGAAGTCTTTCCATCAAGGGTTTCCATACAATGTCCCCTTCTACTGCGATGCAGCTATAGGAGGATTTCTTGACCGACAAGAGTTAAATAATGGCGCCGTGTATTTTCTGAAACTTATCCACATTAGCGTCTCAACAGACAAGAAAAGAATGTACTGCAGTGTTTACTTACCACAGTCACACAATGACCGTGATTCAGCTGTAGAGACAAAAAGATGGCAGATGAACAGAATGGATTCAGGATATACATGAAAGCAAGGTACATGGTTGTGTGTGTGTGCGTGTGTGCGCGAGCGTGTGTGTGTGTGTGTGTGTGTGTATGTGTGTGTGTGTGTGTGTGTGTGTGTGTGTGTGTGTGTGTGTGTGTGTGTCTGTGTGCATGTGCGTGTGTATGTGCCAGCTAGTTCAGTTGGTGGGTACACTTATGCCAGATAGTGTGGGGTCTGTTGCCAACAGACTTGGCTGCTTGAAGGTGCAATGTTGTACCTGCGCCCTTTGTTGGTTTCAGGGTTCATATTTTCAATTTGAAGTATACATACCTGTCAACCATGGACAATTTCTGGCTGGAGGACCTCTTGTGTAATCAATGGTGCTAGTGAAGCTTATATCAGATCCATTCTGATTTAGCCACCCACACTAGGAGCAAGTATAACCTCACTGGGGGCAGGGGTAACTGCAGTTGGATCCCAGGATGTATACCCTGATGCCGTCAATCCTTTTTCTGCCCCTTGTCCTCACCCACTTACTGAGGTGTGGTGAGCCCATAAGTGGGATCATTTCCAAGTCCACCCAGAGTTTAGTTAGGGATATCAGGGGGTGTCGGCCGTTGGGCGGTTCTATAGCCAATTGAGTCATCTTTCCAATATTCCTTTTGAGTCTCACTGCCCTCTTCCAAGGGGAGACCCACGTGACCAGTTATTGCAGTGAGCAAGTGTATGTGTGTGTATGTGTGTGTCTGTGTGTGTCTGTGTGTGTCTGTGTGTATCTGTATATGTGTGTATGTGTACGTGAGTGTGTGTGTGTGTATGTATGTATGGGTATGTGTGTGTGTGTGTATGTGTGTGTGTGTGTGTGTCCGTCCAGACAAAAGTGTACGTGTATTAGCTTGTTCTGAGGGCACTGTACTGTTTGTTTCACAATTGACAATGTCCTGGAAGAGAGAGAGAGAGAGAGAAAGAGAGAGAGAGAGAGAGAGAGAGAGAGAGAGAGAGAGAGAGAGGGAGTGAAAGAGAGAGAGAGAAAGAAAGAAAGAGAGAGAGAGGGGGAGCCTGGAGGGAGACAGAGAGAACCAGAGAGAGACAGAGAGAGACGTGTACGGAGTCTTCCTTGTCCCATAGTGCTGATTGAGTGAGGTGAAGGAAGGTCACAGTACACATGAAAGCATGCAGACTACTCACTCTTATCTGAACTGCAGTCCGCGCTGCTGTAGTTCACCATTATAGTAGGGCAGTCTTTCTCCTTGCATGCTGTTGCAAGGCAGAGAAAGAGAACATAATCGTCAACCAGCCACAGATTCCCAGACTGATAGACAGACAGACAAAGGGACAGATATACAAAAATATAGATTGACCAACATGTTCTTTTATCTCAAGTTCCGGAACCATGAAGTGTATATGGGAGCGATTACACGAAACGTGCTAATCCAAGATGAAAATATGCACAATTCAGCACATCGAGAGGGGCATCAAATGGCGCGTGTGTGTGTGGGTGTGTGTGTGTGTGTGTGTGTGTGTGTGTGTGTGTGTGTGTGTGTAACTGACTGTGAGTGGACACGGTGTGTATGCAGCTACAGGTCACACAAAGTGCGTATTTCATGTATCCCTTACGGTTCACTTCAATGTTGTTACTCTCAACAGTCTGTTTATCATAATCTGGTGTATCAGGACCCGCCAGTGGAAGTGATGTAACCTTCAGTACAGAAGCACAAAGTTGCATCCAAGACATCAGACTACTTGCATACACATAGCAGAACATTACTCAATCTGCGGACAGCATGCTGTTTCGTTCTTTGTGAACTCCTCAGCGCAGCATGCTGTTTCGTTCTTTGTGAACTCCTCAGCGCAGCATGCTGTTTCGTTCTTTGTGAACTCCTCAGCGCAGCATGCTGTTTCGTTCTTCGTGAACTCCTCAGCGCAGCATGCTGTTTTGTTCTTTGTGAACTCCTCAGCGCAGCATGCTGTTTTGTTCTTTGTGAACTCCTCAGCGCAGCACAGAGACTGCAGAACATTATAAAGTTGGTCGCATGCAACGTAGGAGCTCGCACTTTTTCCCGCCAACATGACACTTGACATTTGACTTGAGGTTAAAAGCAGGACTGCCATCTAGAGCACGCAAGAAATCCATCATACCTACAAGTACCAACGCGGGAAAACCTGCACGAAAGCACCACTCTCAAAGCGCGAGCTCCAACGTTGCAAGCACAACGTAGGCCAAAAAAAACAGAAGCTAACCATATACTAGGGAAAGGTTCAGTGCAGACACACCCTGGACTGACTGCAGTACAGCACAACACAGCCAGAGTCATAATAAATATAGGCAGCAAGACGATACCGGCCTGTGTGGTAGGGTTTGTTCCAATGCAGCAGTACGAGTCATGGATGTGATTCACTCTGGGAGATGTAAATGTGGTAAGGGTATACGGTCGCCTCCACTTATATAACTAACTCGCACATAGCAACTTCCGTGCCAATGTCCTTGTTTGACCCATACAAAATTGACCTTTTGTAGCAAACAGTTTTCATTGTTTACAACAAGCCATATCTTGCAGGGTGCACGTAAAGTTGTGAACCAAGTGCACTCATACAGTCATGGGCCACATGCCTGTCATGGCGTGTTGTGTGCATGGTATCAGTGAATTCTTATTTATAAAGAGCTCCAGCTGTAAACAACTAATTCTCCTGCACAACGGTGCTCGTTCAGGAGTCGACTGTATAATATATTATCGTATGTCACAGGACTGTTGCCACAAATCAAGGAAATCAACGCTCTTGCAGAACGTGCTCATCTTTTTATTCATCGCGGGGAAAACTCATGCCCCCCCCAGTAATCACAGAGTGACTTGCACCTTACTGTCGTGAAGGCTCACCTTGACACTGTAGTCTCTCTTTTCGGCGTAGTCCATGAAGCATTCATCAAATGAGCTGGGCGTAATTCGTATGCTGGCTTCAGAGTGCCGTGACTTGTCTGTGGTGAAAAACACTCTGTAACGCCCGTTGTCCAGACCACTTTCCCGAAGTGATTTCTGGAGAGGACATTGCAGGCATATCACAACATGCCATCCACACAAAGAACGCTGAACATGAGACAAGAGCTCCTTCATGCTCCACAAAATGCAGCACAGAAAACAGAAACTACAATGTACGGCTTCCGATCGAAAACTACCTGAAAGATCCGTTTGGGTAGGCTACATCTTCATACTAAACTTGGTCAACAGCTAGATTGAACGTCAATGCGTTGCATAAGTCCTCCCGTCCATTAATCATAAGGAGCTGCTAGAACATGGAATACGAGAAACACTTCTACAAACTACTTGTAAACCGGTGGTCCTCTCTCATATATAAGTTAAATCCTTGGCTTTCCAATCTAGTCTTATCTGCAAAGAGTCTAAGAAATGTGGACCGCCCACCAACTGCTCCTGCATCTCCGAATCTCAGCAAGAGGTCAACGTCAATTACAAAATTAGAAATACTCACCAAAGAAAGATCATATTTCACGGCTGTTCCCCTCTTAAGCGATAGGGCAATACGATAGCCGACGAGAAATTTGGAATCTAAATTTCACAGCACGCCAAAGATATACGAACATGCATACGCACGTGTGCACACACACTCGCACACATACACACACACACACACACACACACACACTACTACTACTATGTACAACTGCCACAAAATGGCCACGTCGCTCCCAGAAGCGGGAGACAACAGCGAGAAAAAAAGAAACAAGGAGAATAATTGAGGTGAAAGGGGACCGTTCTACACATAGCTAGTGTTTCTGTCTTCGGTGGCGGGTGAGGTCCTGCGGGCGGGAGAATCGTTCGTTACATATGCTGCATTGAATGGGCAGATTAGTCCTCTGGTCCTTTCGCAGTCGTTTGCCTCGAGTACAATTATGGCGGTTAAAACCAGCCTGACTCTTCATGCAGCGATCACAGATCGAGCAATGGTGCTGGCAGCAGTCCAAATTCAGGCTGCATCTCGTTGAAACAGCTGGTATTTCGTCCGATGTCTGACGCTCCACACAACGATGAACTGCAAAACCGCCAGCGCTTTGAAACCAGCGGTCACAAACTCCACAGTGACGGGCCCCAGGCTGCTGGGCAACAGGTAAGGACCGTACAGCTGAGCACTTGTGACGGTGAATCCCACGAGCAGTGAATGATCGGTTGCAAACCTTGCAGGTGACTTTGTTGTTGTTACACTCCACGAGATCATCCGGAGTCTTTGCAATTGCCTCGCGCCATGCTGGGCGATCCTGAGCCAAAGTGAGCCAATTCACTATGCCACCGAAACGAAGATCACGTGCGACGAGGTCTTTCCATCGCAGTCGTGGCCCACAGGCTGGGCGTGGATCTGAGAAGAAGCTAAACAGTATCAGCTTCGGAAGCCGGTTATCTGGCATTCTGGCGACATGCCCAAGCCACTGCAGACGGCGGTGTCTGACGGTATCAGATGGCAGTGCCATATCACCCCAGCGTCTTCGCAGCTCCTGGTTGTTGACATGCTGCAGCTGTTGATCGAGCCGGGATACACCCAGAATGAACCTGAGGGAGCGGTGGTGGAAGTTGTTGATGGCAACCATGTCTCTCTTCAGCGGAGTCCAGCACTCACAGGCATAGAGCAATGTGGACAGAACGCAAACATCGTAAAGATGGCGCTTGGTGGCGATGGAAAGGTTTCGGTCAAGAAAGACACGGCGCATAAGGTCGAAAGCTGCCGCTGCCTTACCGAGTCTTCTGGCCACATCTGCAGATGAGCGGGTGTCAGCAGTTATCACAGAGCCAAGATACACAAAGGATTTGACACTTTCGATCTCCTCCGGACCAACAAAGAGCGGAAGGCGGTCAGCACATGATACACACACACACACACACACACACACACACACACATGCATACATACACACACACCCGCATGCATGCATGCATGCATACACACATGCCCGGTACCACCATGTACGCCCGACCTGGCACAAGAGAAGCAAGCCAATGCGCAATGTAGTGGATGAATATCCACATAAATATCCTATTGGCAAGGAGCAACAAAGGCGGACAAGATCTGAATGAAACAGAACATGACTAGGCCCAGGAAACTGCCCAATCCATACAACTGGCAAACCCAAGTATACATAATAATGTCAGCAACTGGATTGAAATGTTGAATGAATTCAGAGAAATTGCTTGCTCCAATGCACTCTGGGTACAGATAATTCACAACCAACATGGAACATAATATTCCATGCTCGGATGTTCGTATTTTTTTAATCTTCTGCAGCTGCATGCACATTACCCCACATTCACACGTACCCACTGGATCTTCCCAGGTGACGCCGAATGAGAAAGTGCCACCGTAAAGCCTGGGCTGCGTTGCTCGGACATTCCGAGGCCGACCAGGCGCAGTGACTTGAGCTGTGCCACACTGCTGCTGCCGCTGCATCATGGACACGGTGTAGATCTCCTGGTCGAGGACCGGGTCGACGCAGTCGACGTAAGGGGGATCATAGATCTTGTCGCCGCACCGCAGCATTTCACCTATGAAAAAAACACAGACATGGAATGTGCTGAGTGTGTATCCTGCATGAACACAAGCACTGGGAAAAGCAACGAGTGGCAAGTAGCAAGCAGCTAGATTGACGGTCGGTATCTGTGGGACGTCTAACATAAATTTAAAAAAAATGGAAGGACAAAATGTTAAGGGTTATGACCAACTGTCCACCAAAGTATCCAGATCATATACATGTACAGTCAGCGAGTGAGACAACAAGGCACACAACCGACAGCGAGTACTGAGACATTCAACGACCTAACATTCTCCCTGCATTATAAAACGGAGCTCATGTTTGGGAGCAAGACTTCGTCGCAGCAGTGCTGTGAGGTGAGGATAAATGCACCCTGAGAGTGCTGCTGGGTGTACAATCACCTGCCAGACTAGACCATGCAATCACCTGCCAAACTGGACCATGCAGCTCGCACTAAAAGGCATAGACAATTCTTGTCACTCAAATACGGGACCACGGTCAGCGAAACCTTATCCAGAATGATTTTCCAAAAAGTCCACAAACTGTCATGGGAATCATTGAAAAGCAGCAAAGGTAGTTTTCACAGAGGCTGAGTTAATTATTTTCTTGATCTCCTAACATTGGCACCACGGTGTATCTAATCAGGTACTCAGGACAGCTAAAAAAAATATAAAAAATTCACGGTTCGTGTCAGACTCGGCCAGAGGCCGTGTTTTCCGCATCCGTAGGAACGCCACCACCCTTCAAGGGTCAAGGCGCAGATGCAGCTCCTAAAGCAGTGGGAGGTGAGCAGGCGTGTACGCCGGGTCACCTCTGGGGGGGGGGGGGGGGGGTATCGCAAACAATCGTTTTTAACCCTTCCTAAAGAGCCCTAGGAATTTTTCAAAATGATGCATTTTTCGTGTTCTTTGGATCATAACTTCAGTTCTTCTCACTCAATCTTCATTATCTTGGGCTTCCTGGAAGTGGAAAGGTGCCAGGGAGAGAATGAGGTGGACCATGATAGCCAGGACACAGTACAGTCATGTACATATCCAGCCCTATAGGCTATAGCGGTAGAGTGCAGCGACGGTGCGAAAAAATGCCCCAAAGCCTAAAGGCCCAAACGCATCCTTCCTGCTCCAGCGATTTCGTTTTTCTTGATCGCAGAGTTTCGATTTTTTGCTGTGTACTCTTGAAAATATCACAAGTGAAGCCCCTGCAAATTTGAGCAAGTCAGCGCGACGAAAAGTCTCAAATTCTCCATACTCGAGTCACACTGCACGCTTTTGAAATTGTGAGATCGCGGCTCAACTTACGAATGATTTATCTCAAGAGACATTACTCGCAGCGCGTCGCAAATTGTTTCCACCGACGGCTGAGAGTTTTCTATTCAACCTGGATATTTGAATCGTTGGATTTGAGCGAGATTTGACTGAGTTACGATCTGTTGAAGTTTTGCATTTTTGCCAGATCAATCGTGCGCAATACTAAAAATGCCCAAAAACGTTGCTCGTTTGGAACATTTGGGGGGGGGGGTTCCGGGCAACGGGACCCCCCCCCCCCACCTGCGTACGCGCCTGGGTGAGAAGATAAGCTCACCAGCAAGCGGTCAAAGACCGAAAATCCCATTCACTGCATCCATGTTTTCCTCGTGCCAGGCCACGAGTTTCCAAGTAACTGTGGGTCGCAGCAAGGCTGGAAAATCCTTCCGCTTCCAAGGAGGACTTGCACCTGGTACTAGTACCCTCTGTTTCTCAATCATGATCTTAGACCATCCCACTCAGTGTGCCTGCCTGGATAGCTAAGTACGTTCTCATTATGAGATAGCCCCAGCATGCACCTTGAACCCGCTATTCAAAGACAACCGAGGCAAAAATCTTTACCGTTGGCCTGGTAACAGAGCATACCATTCGCAATCTGGAAACCAAGGGGTGAAATTTTGCAGCGAAATCCTGAGTTCGGATACTCTGAAGTTCTCAAGTTGAATGTTCCAGTGTTTGATTTAGCCCCTACAAATCGCATGCGCAAGCCTGATACTCACGTGATACACACCCAAATTGTACGGATAAACTGTCACTTTCTGCAGTACACTGATTGCTAGGACATTTGAGCTCACTCTCTACTGCTGTGGCAAATATACACCACACAGCTTGCACGCGCATCCCAATGCATCCTACACTCTCTATTAAACTGATGGATTAAAAAAATTAATAATTTAAAATATATCAACGAGTAACCTGGCTTTCTCCAAGTACAACTTCTCGGTCCAAAAACACTGAAAGTACTCAATGTTTCCCTTTTCATTCCCTCCAACTGATGAAATCCTCGAATATTCTGTAGAATTGTTCAACCCCTATCATATGCATGTGCCCAGTCAAGTCTTGCTTCACAACAATTAGCGTGAATATCTTCTAGAGGGTAGCTCCCGGCTCGGCACTGATCAGTCAACCAGCAACCAGCTCAGCACACACCAGACTTACATCGGTCCGCATAGTCCCTGCGTGGCCACAGAAGACAACTGCTGTTCGGCAGCACAGTTGACGATTCTCCGCGACTGGCAATGGTGACTAGCATGAGCACAACTGAGAGTAACGTGACAAACTCCAACCTGAATACACAGTAAAGTAACATGGAAAAATGCTATCGGGCATGGTGAAAGAGAAAGAAGAGTAACAATAATTTTGTTCTTCCTTTTCTACACGGAAACCCTACACCATCCTCAACGCTGTTTAAAAAAAGGGGATCGGACTATTGGCAGCCAACTCTGCTCTCCAAATGTACACTATTGCCTTGTACATACACATACATTTCACATACTAGTGATAAAAATGTTCCTTCAAGTACTGAAAACCAGCTGTACAAGATACAGATTCTCGCTCTTTCGAAAACCGACAAGAAAGTCCAGAGGAATATCGCTCATTCGGTGTTCAGTCTCCCTGCATCTCTGTTAACTAACAGTGTGCTGACAGCGCCTGCACTGTATACATACAACCAAGAGTACATAACCCCCAAGAGTGTGCAACTGCCTGCACACCCTCTATGCAGTGCTGCGACGGCAGAACTTCACATCACGTGTCAAGGTTCAAAAGGTTACGCTGGCAAACAGTGCAAAGTGACCACAAGAGAGTTGAGCCCAAGGCTGGGTTGCGTACAACCCTGTATCTATCATGCCCAGAGTGCAAATAATGTGTACAGGTTCATCACGTGATGTGAAGTTCTGCCGTCGCAGACCCCATAGCAGGGCCGGCACCACTGGTACGGCCGGTACAGCCAGGGCTGTACCAACTTCCCAAAAAGTCGGTCCATGTGGAACGTCCAAAACCGGGGAGAAAAAGTCTCGATGTATGATTTTGTACAGGGAGTCGCCCAGAGTGCAGGATTTGCCGTCTAAATTCCAAATATTTTCTGGGGGAGGGCCCCCACACCCCCCAAACAAGGCCCTTCGGCCGCACCGCTCCACAGAAGCCGCCTCCGGCCCTGCATAGCTGGCGTTGCACACTCTTGGGAGTTATGTACTCTTGATACAATCCTACTTCAAGTAAATTTGGAAATTTGGATTTTTGGAAATTTGATCAACGTCCCATCATGAAAAGCGTCGCACCACCTGGCGCTGCACTGCACTGCTTGTTGTGGCCATGCAACTAATGTTGCAAAGCTACAGGGTATGCCAAGCCTACGAGACTAGAAACATGCTACAGGGTAAGCCAAGAGAGCCTACGAGACTAGAAACAAGCTACAGGGTAAGCCAAGAGAGCCTACGAGACTAGAAACAGCCTGTGCATACATGTATGCACAGTGGCTGGGAGTACTAGGTGACGAAGTACATGTACGTGTGAAGAGCTGAGATGCGAAACCCGATAGCACAGCGCCAACTATGAGAAAATCAGATTTTCAGCTCAGTGCACTGAAAAGGTCTAGAGGCACCACCGAGCAAAATCTCACATTCAAAGTCTGACAAGTACATGTACAAGTTCAGAACTGAAACTCAGATTTGGATTTAGGATTTTAGATGCAAACCGCACATAAAATGAATCCTTTTTGGCCGTTATCCGAAAAGCGATGAAATGAATTTAGCCAGTCCCGCATTGCAGCTCTTCATGTAGGACAATCGTCCTGCCTCTGTTCCTGCCTCTGCGCATGTGAATATGACATGCCACATTTTTGAGTAATTATTTGCATGAAAATATTGGAAGTAAGAATCCAAAGTTGTTTTTCTAAAGCCCACGCTATAATCGATTCCGGTACATGTACATACTGTACTACATCCTAGGTGGATTTCCTACACAAACTGTATATTTTCCGCTATGGACTTGCACGGCCCTTGACGGCCTGCTTATGGTGCGAATGCAGCCGGAAACACACATGTACAAATACAGCCCAGGGCGCCAGCTTTGTACTTTGGGTGGGACTTCACCCAGCATAACTGTAATTTTTACTGCCGTGTAACATGTGCCATGTATACGCCCGTCGCAAGAGATGCACGCAAATCTACACTGGATGTGCACCCACAGAATTTCTCTTTTATAGCAACGATAGCGGATCTGATTCTGAATGAAACAGATCAAGACAAGCGCAGGACAACGGTCTAATCCACACAACATGCGAAACCATGTGAATCGACCCCCAATGCACACATGGTCTACACTACATGGAGTACATCGGAATAGGACAGCCAAGACCGTTATGTATGCACACCCTAGACTTGCTGGGGTAACCAGTATAGACAGCACGCTGCTTTGATAAAGGCAGACACTAGATGCACTGGTACCTTGAAGTGAAATTGGAGTTACTTTACCAACCAGCCTGGCAACTTGGTTCTGGGAACCCAGAGCCAATAGACATACCAACAACCTCAGCCATGAAAGCTATTATAGGAACAACACACTGGATTGTGGAGCCGAAACTAGTCCAACTTCCAAAATGCTTTAGCACGAAGGCAGCCTTCCGACAGGTTGGCATTTTACTACCACACACACACACACACACACACACCAGGGGCGTCGGAACCGGTGCGGCAGGTGCGGCCAAAGCCGCACCAATAATTTTCGAAGTTTTTTTTTGCATTTCCACCTTGTTGATGGCTTGTCGACTCTTGTACAGGTACCATGTTTTACATCGACAATGCGGTGTATCATCAGCATGCATATTCTTATTTCTCATATTATTCTGTAGCATAAAAAAGACATACAATGCATTAATTATTATTATTATTTATTATTATTATCAAATTTTTGATAGATAATCTGTCGCTCCTGGATGCTGTGCAATCTGCTTCTGATAGAGCTGCTTGGCTCGAAATTGTTAACAGATGCGTTGACCTCATGCAATGAGTGATATGCGAACTGTCATTATTATTATTAAAATATGGCCTTTTAGGCCCAATTTTCTAAAAAATTCCAGGGGGGACCTCCCCCCCCCCCGACCCCCCTCTCACACTTTTGCCGCACCAATGTTAAATTGCTTCCGACGCCCCTGCACACACACACACACACACACACACACACACACACACACACACACACACACACACACACACACACACACACACACACACACACACATGCACACACGCGCACACACATATACTGCAATGGTGACACAAATTTGTGCTCCGTGCTGGGGGCATTTCATACGTCCCACATTCAACTGTTACTGGCCACCTCCTGGCTCGTGCCACTTCCTGTGGTACGTGGGTGGTCTGAGAACTCAAGGTCCAAACCAACCAGTATACTATTAGTACTGAAACGAGAACCCAGTGCTGCCCCAACACCAACTGAGACGATTTGGTGCCACATATCAAATTTTGGCCAGTGACACGCTCATCGTTAAAAAAATCATTATTCACCTAATCATTATTCACCTGTGTGCCCGGTGACTGTGCGGTGCAGCTGGTTTGCACTCGATGCCTTTCCAGCTGCTTTTCCTTGCGGACTCCATTCCATTCAAATAATCAGCGGACCTTTCCCGTTGACTACATGTACGCTAGTGCAGAGGATTTGAATGGAGTGACAATGCCACACCGTATCGGTAATGCTAAGACCAAGGCTTTCAAGTAAGTTTCTCCTTCTCTAGTCGGAACGCAAAACTTCTCTAGCTAGTAAACGAATTACCCAGTTGGTTTATTATGTAGATCTACCGGTACTAGTGTGCCGAGTCACCTGGTCACGGTGCCCGCTGACGCGCTATAGCGCTAGCGCGCTGCGAAGTAACAACTAATTCTAGTCATCATGTAAAGTGTGAAGTGTCCTGTAAGTTTCTCAGCTTGCCGTCAATGAAGGCCTTTTCATTCGATAATCCACAGTCTGAGAGTGAGACCACACTATGACAGCTCGAAACACTTGCAGGCACAGCGAAAACACTTCGACGCGGATATCCTTCCAAACATATTTATCAACCATAAACTGATGGTGGTGGTGGTGGTGAGAAGGAGAGCTCTGTGCCAGAACTTTGCAGCCTAGAGAGCGTGTGTGCGCAGGCGTGTGTTTACCGCCATATTGCCAGGTGTGTCTTTACCACCATATTTATCAACCATAAGTACAGCTGCAGTGGTGTCTTCAACTAACTTCATTCTCCCGAGTAGTAGATCTACAGAACATAAAGACATAACTGTCGTTGCTCTACTCTACAAGCGCTCTTTGCCATTTTTTAATGTAAACATTTTAGCCGTAACTCAGCCTCAGGCCATCAGGGAGTTCAACACAATCATGCAAGGCCAAGCAAGCATCTGCAACCCTGTCTGAACTGGCCGAAGTCGGAACTAATACTTCGGAAGACGTACATGTAGAGTCTACGTCGTTCGAAAGCATGCACTCTACTACAGCTGTAGTCTACGTAATCCTTGTACAGACTCAGTACTCAGTAGAGTTCTTGAGCCTTGAGGCTTGAGCCAATTAGTTGAGGCTGTTGTGACTTGATTCCCATTCAAGGTGGCTGCGACGATACACGTTCCTAGTCACACTAAGTCTAAGGTGGTGGTGAGAAGGAGAGCTCTGTGCCAGAACTTTGCAGCCTAGAGAGGGTGTGTGGGCAGGCGTGTGTTTAAAAAAAAAGTAAAATATGCGTCAAGATCACCACCAGCAACCATCTGTCCTTTATAATACTTATTCATTGACATGCGATCGTTGATTCACTGTCATTTTAGTAACAGCTTCAGGCTGAATTTCAACCCTTCACAAGGACTCGGACACCGAAATACTTCTGTAATCGTTTCTGCCTACACTCAGTGCATTTTTAGGTGGACACTGCACTGGGCCATGGGATTGAGCTGCATTGTAGCATGCATGCAGCATCGCCATGCAACGTCAACTCGGCAGGTTAGGGTAGGTAGCGTGGTGCAAGGCATGAATTGAAAGCAGCTTGAGAGGAAGCGGAAGAGACTGACGAGGAGCTGTTGGAATTAGGAATGGACGAGGGCGAGACCAGTGTTAGTGAGGGTGATCATGAAGCGATGATGATGACGCTAAGCTTGGCGACAATGTGGATGGAACTTGTTACAAGTGAGATAGATCGAGGTAAGAAGATGAGACCTAAAGAGTAGAGTTCACTGTGGGTAGTGGGAGGACTACTATGCTACAAGCCCAATAACACCGGCCGCGGTACCCTCAATGGCCTCGTGGGACATACATGAACTTCATGAAGGATGTGACCATTGGTGACCCTTATACAATGTAGTATTCGAGCTACATGTACATGTACATGTACATGTAGGTGCAGGTACATCTTTTCCGAACATACATGTACATGTACTAGTATTTCTCAGTCTGCGAGTATTTCAATAATGATTAATGTAACCGCCACTGTCCATACGAAGTCAGTACACGCCGACAAACTTACCAGGTGACTTCCATGATCCATCAATCACTTTTATCATGCATGGTCACAATCATACATACAGTGTACATGTATGTGGTGATGGGTGGTGATTAGTACCCGTTCAATGAACGCTTTATTTATGTTTTATAATTATCGCTTGTACACGTACATGTACATGTATTAAAGTTACATGTATGTACATCATACATCAAACTGGCATAACTTGTACTAGTACTCAAAACGTTCGAATGACCACAAATGCAACTACATGTACATGACTGTACTTCCTTGACTACATGTGTCAAATAGAGATAGGAGATTACACTCAATACTAAAAAACAATAGTCTTTCCATCATTTTTACTTTACTCAACAGTCTTATCACGCCACAGCAAAACAACAGAGACCAAACTCCTTTCTTCTGTAACAACTAATTACTTACTAACTCGGAGTTTCATGTTCAGAAGCCCTCAACAGTGATAAATATGTACATGTATCTATGGCGGATGTGTGGTGTTACTTTCCACTAACTTGACTAAGATAGAGGATATCTTGGTGCTGGAATAGAGATACATACTCAGATAGGCGTTTCTAGGAATCATACTCAAGTTGACAGCAAGTTGGGGTGTAGGTCCTAGCCAATTGGCTATCCTAGGACTGTAATGACAGCTGTGGAAGCGAGAGGCACCGCCAGGAAACTATATTGTACATGTAATGATGTACATGTAGTACATGTACATGTACATCATCTGAGTGTCATGTACATGTACATGAATGTATGCTACAACTAGTAATTAGCTCCAGAGCATACATGACTTGTATGGTTAATCAGATGGTTTGTCTACATGTACATAATTGTTGTATGTGTCTTGTGTGTGCTGCACGGGAGGGGGGGGGTAGATACATGTACAGTGAAAGCTCAACAGGAACTCGAGAATGGGGACGGGTGTCTCGTCTATGTACATGTACACGTACACGTCATGTTGCTGCAATTATGGAAGCAGATACCGGTGTACGTGTACATGTACTGGTTTGTGCATTGTACAAGTAGTGCACACCAGGATCTACAGAATTTACTGTTTAGTCTCCATGTACGTATCTAATATTGACTGAGTACGAGGTCAATATAGGAAATAAAAGCCGAGTAAAAGACCGAGGCGAAGCCTCCCTTAGTATTGACTCCCATAGATTTTTGCCATACCTAAGCAGTCAAATATTCCTGCATATTTCACTCCTTAGCCTTAGGGCTATATTGACCGCTTATATTTGACTCCTTTTTAGCGATTGAACACAGGCTTTGGCTAGTCGTGATAAATCTAATATTGACTTCGTAC